ATACTATCCCTGGAATCTGGTTTCTTCTCTAAGCAAAGACTTTCAAGAAGCTGTAAGCCAAAAACTCTTATGATGAATGGGTATAAAGCCTAAAAATTGTTTTCCCAGATTAAATAAAGTAGGACATAGTTTTATTGGATAGTAATCTGTTTCACATACTTCTTCAAATACAAATAATCACATATACAAAAGGAAGTATATATGAGTAATCTGATGTTGTATGTAAAAGTGAACTTTAAAATAGAAAGAGATAAAATAAACAATTATTAATTCTGTGATGTATTTATTTTAGCCAAAAAAAAAAACTATTGGTTTGTAGGCTAATAACAGTCTTTATATTTTAGTATCCTCTATTATAATGTCTTCATCATTTGGAGAGGTACCATTTTAGGTTTGAATAATTTCTTTGGAAAAGATTTTGGAGGATTTGTGATTGTGGAGAAATTGCTTCTTTAGCTGAGAATGTTTTCTATGCTATTTATGCTATGACACATTGCATAAAGAACTTGAGATCAGGAGAGAGACACAGTTTAGCAATCAAATTATCTTTATTCCTCTAAAAATTTCCCCATAGATTCCTTACCTAATTCCAACATAACATGCAAATGCCTGAATGTTCATAATGTAGTTTAAAATGTTAGTGCCTTGAACACATGTTTTATGAAATTATAGCACCATTTTATTCTCTAAAAGTGTTATTACTACTCACTACAAATTTTCATATTTCACATAAAATTTCTAGAAGTAATTCTATCTCAAAAATATTTTTCTATTAGAGCTTTATTTCCTTTAATAACAGATTTGAGGTGAAACAAATACCTCAATTCAGATAAAAATGATCCATTAGTGTACAGGGTTTTGGTTTGTTGTGAATAAATAGAGAAATATACATTACTTAATCAGTATTCCCATGAGACTAACATAACCCACAGTTAACATTCAACCATGGAATGTCCTTGGATTTTTCTTTTCTCTCTATGTCTTTCTTTGTTTTTTGTCTATAAAGACTTTGCCCTCCCCAAGTTTACTTGAAAGATACTCATATATGTGTCAACTTGAACTTTTTAAAATTCAATTTTCTTGATAAAAGTTTTACTATTTCTAATTTACTTTTCTGCATTATAGGATGTATAGACATACTTTTCTAATTACTTCTAATGGTGTCACTACAACTTAAAGATAACACATATTTAAATCTTTATATTCATAATAAAATAAGTTCCCTACAAACTCCTTTAATATACTAAAAATATTCTTTTAATGAACACATTAATCTAGTTCTAATAACATAATATTTAATTAATAGGAGATTAAGGTATGATTTCATTCAAAAAGGTATTTTATTTACTTACTACTTTATCCTGTCACTTTTTTTCTACAAATGTCTCAGTTATATTTGCATATTTTCTTTTGTAAAGCAGACAGTCCACATTCAATTGAGCTATCATTGTTGGGATTTTAATTGGCATTACATTTGACTTTCAGAATAATTTAGCACTAATTACAGCATAAGTATTTCCAGTCATATTTCTATATTATAACCTTCAGTAGGTACTAAAGAATTCTTCCTATAAATATACTTTCCTTATTAGTTTGATTATTTGTTGCATTCCTTTCTTTCTTTCCTTCTCATTCCATCCTTACTTTTTCTTTTTAAATTTCATTGTCTTCTTTCTTATAAATGTGAAACACTTGTTAGGGTTGTTGTTGCTATTTGGAACTATTGCTTTTATGTTTATCTTTTATCTGGCTCCTTTAAGGAATGTTCTCAAAGCTAATAATGTGATACTACAATTAAAGAAAACAATTCCCTCCATAGATACTTTGTTTCCTTTACCTCTAGGAGTTATTCTCACTTTCTTTTTGTTAAGAAGGACTGACAATTTTATGCTATAAAGCCATAGTGAACATTCTCTCATTCTTTCTATAGAATCATCACTATTATCTATCATCACTATAATGATTCTATAGAGATTTGTTGTAATTTTGAAAATTGTACCCTTAATCTGTTTCTAGATTTTATAAAGAGTATTTTGCTTTTTAAAAGGGGTTGTTATATTTCATGAAATGTTTTTTGAACATGTTATGTATATAAATTTTCTTCTTGATCTTGTCAATGGAATTGCAATATTTTACTAATTTACTGTAAAACCAACTTGAAATTCTTGGAACATGTCCTATTTGCTCATGATGCTTGGTTCTGTTAATACATCTCTGGTTTTGATTTGCAGTATATTTAGGATCTGGGGATGCATATTCATAAATAACATTGTCCCATGTATTTCATTCCTCTCTGTGTACACTATTCATGTATGGTTAAGGCTTTGACGGATATAGTGAATGAGTCGGGAAGCCTTTCATCCTTTCAAGGTTCTGTAACAGTTTATGAAATAAAGATGTTCTTTCTTTCTTTCTTTCTTTCTTTCTTTCTTTGAGAAAGAGAGAGAGAGAATTTTTTTAATATTTATTTTTTAGTTTCCAGTGGACACAACATCTTTATTTTGTTTTTATGTGATGCTGAGGATCGAACCCAGCACCCCGCGCATGCCAGGCGAATGCACTACCGCTTGAGCCACATCCCCAGCCCCATGTTTTTTGTTTCTTGGAGATTTGGGTGTGACTCCACTCTTCTGAATCTCAAGCTTTGGTGAAAAATAATAGAAAATACAGGGAAATGAGATTAACAGAGAAGAAGAATTGACTAAATTGGCCTCAGAGAAATTAAACCAAAGGGATAAGGTGATGGCATTTATGAACCCCTGATAGGTTACCAGTGGCTCATTTTTTAATGGTTACTCACTGTCTCCCCATGATTAAAATGTAGACTATGTGAATATTTTTCTTGTCTGTTGTTTGATGTGTTTCTAGGACCTAAAACAGTACCAGGACTATAGAAGGACACGTAATAAGTTTGGGTAATTCAATAAATTAAATAAAAGGGAAAATGACTTTAGTTTGGTTGTGAGTTGATGTGTCTTTAGAGTAATGTGAGAACATTTAAAGTAGTATAATGTGGCTATCAGAATATTGATTGATTTGTTATCATTCTTTATCTGAGTCCCCATATCACCCCCATTTAGTTTTTCTTTTTCTTTTCTTCTTTCTTTTCTTTCTTTCTTTCTTTCTTTCTTTCTTTTTTACCATTTTTTGGCACTTTTTGTTCTTTAAAATGTCTACATTATTTTTTTCTCCCTATTCAGATTTATAGCTTCACTCCATAGCAACGCTACCTTCTTTCTTATTAGGGCTATTTTTAAAATCTGAGGAAGAATTTCAGATGAAAKAATGCCAGTCTCTTCATGGGAAATCACATGTTTGTTTTAATATCGGGTATGTATGAAGCAAAGTCTATCCTTTCTCTCAGTAGATGCACAAAACTTCCTAAAAACATTGGTCAGAAGTTCTTAAGAATAATATTTCTCCAAATAAATGGAAAAAGTTCAATCTATAGTGTAATAAATAAGCTAGTAGATTTCCTTACTAATATAAATTGATATAATTTCAAATACAGATTTGCAAGTTAGAGAGCATATTTTTAGTTTTTAAAAATTTGTAATAAAAGGAAAAATCAAAGTTCCTTCAACTATTACTCTGTTGAGTTCACAAATTGTCATATCTTCTCTTGCTGTTCTTCTTTTACAGGTTTGTTTCTTCTTTTGCAATAAACACATCTCTCCAATTCCTGATTACTTTTTCTCATCTCTCTCTCTCTCTCTCTCTCTCTCTCTCTCTGTGGGTTCTACTCATGTTTCAAGTTTTATATACTTTTTGAAGACCTTTCTATCTGCTGCATTGCTTTCCCCAGTCCTTAAAGTCCTATTTTATTTAGAAACATTATTGATTATAATTMTAATTTATTTCATATTCCCCTTAGTAGACTATAAACTGCATAATGGTAGAAACTTCACTAATTAACCGTTGATCTTTAAGTTGTGCTTTTAAAATATAGTGACAATTGAGAAATATTACATATATTCATTTTAAATAGTATATTAATATTTCTGTGATCTACCTGGCCTATAAATAGCATTCTTTGGTCTGCTCACTATTAATACAGAGGCTGAATTCTATTTGTTTTAGCATTTCTAAACATATAATAGGGAAAAATAACAGGAAAAAAGCAATGGACACTGAGTAGTATAAAACAATCAACAAAAAGAGGTATGAAAGAGTCATTATTTTTGCATATTAAATTGACCTCTTTACTCCATAGCAGGACTGAATTATGCCCGGATTCCTCCTCCAACTTTTCTTTCCTTTCTCTTTCCTAATTCCAAAGTAATGCAGAAGGAGATATKACAGTTTATGTTATTGCTTTTCAAACAACATGAAATTGATTGTTTTATTCTTTGTTAGAAATCTTGCTGTTATCTATTGTCATGACATGTTTTAAAAAGAGAATTTACTTATTACTTATTAAAGATGACATTGGAGAGCCAAAACATTGTGGCATCCATTTTCTCCTAGAGCACATCATATGGTTAAAAAATATAGCCTGGGTATTTGTTGACACTGCTATCAAAACTAAACTCAGAAATCCTGGAGTTACGCTTTTCCTACTCTCATTTCTTTTAATGACTGAATTAACTCATTTCCCCTTGTCTGTCACCAGAGCAGTGCTAGAAGATTTAGGCTCAGGTGATAAAGAAACAAACAGAACTTATCTAATTGAAGAAAGTTTACAAGGATGTTTGTCCATCCCTTGAAAACTTTCCAAATGAAAGATCATTTTTGGGGGTCCTAGGAGAAGGTAGATTTCAGATTCACAAAATGGAGGGTTGGGAGCTAAGCTTCTGTTAAAAATACATAGCTATCGCTATCGTAAAACTTAGTCTCAAAATAGTAACTCCAATTTTTAAAAAAGGGAATATGTTGAAAACTACTGAAGGAAAACATTTTTTAAAGTTATAATTAGATGATAGGAATATGGGGCGGAGTTGTTCTTAGAGAAATGAGAGCAGCAATAAAAAGGAATTATGCTTGGCTTGAGTCAGCCTAGTTCCAGAACACTAGATGGATCAGAAAGAGCAGAAAGGCAAGATGAATGAAGTTAAGCTTTCTGTCTTGGGTGGTGAAGGCACCGGCAAGTCTGGTGAGTGTGGATGCCTTCTGTGGTATGAGATAGAGTGCAAAATGAGAAACACTGACATGTTCAATAAGAACCTTATATAAAATAACTTTAGATAAATAATGACTTATTTAATCTGTGGGATGATACATTATTATTTGCAGGGTTTTTTAATGCTATAGACGAATAATTTTATACTTATAAATATGTAGTCAGATGTAGCAAAATAAATGTTTGACGTATTAATTAGTGTCTGCTTCTCTTGATGTTTGAAATTCATAGGGATTCATCATTCCTCTTACTTCTAACTCCAGTATACCTGCCCCTACACCAATAGATTAGCCCCATAGCTAAGCAATGGCTTTGAAAAAACCCTTCTTCTCTGAAACTAAGGGTGGAAAGAGATGCATAGAGACCCATGGGTTGTGTTTAAAATGCAGCCTTGTTGATGTGAAAGGACTTGGGAGGGACATGRCCTTGTGGAGAACCTGAAACTAAGCTACATGTGCCTTATTTTTGGAAGCCCTGGTTTGATTTTATTTTGCTTTGCTTTGGTTTTACCTATATTTGAATGGCAACCAGTATGTCCCTCACAGATCCACATAAGCCTAATGAAGTGGCCAAACTCAGAAGCTGAGATAAACAGATACCAGAGATGKTTTTGCTATTTCCAGGATTTAAAAATCCTACATCCTTAAACAACTGCAAATTCTTGATAATGTCCTTATCACTATTTTTAAAGCATTTTTAAATGTTTTTCTATTTATAATTATACCTAAAGATGGGGTCATTGTGATGTGTTTACACTTACATATAGTACCTTGAAGCCAGATTTAATTTGATAGAGAAAATAAAGAATGCAATAGTCTAACATTTCAAATATAATGAGATGTGTTTGTATTACAAAATATGGGTTGTCTTATGTGTTTTCTTCTTGAATTAACTACAGTGTTTAAATATATAGTGCTCTAAGATTTTATTTTTCTATTTTTATAATGTTATGTTTGTACCATGCAAACATTATTGACACATTTAGATTAGAATTTAGTAAGATTTTAAGTTCTTCATAAATGCATGACAATTATTGAGGTCAAAGATAAAATTTTAGTACACATATAAATTATTTGTATCTTAAAATGTAACAATCCTTAAACCTACCTTTTTTTTTTTTCAGCCCTTACTGTAAGGTTTCTTACTAAGCGATTCATTGGAGAATATGCTTCTAATTTTGGTAAGGCACTACTAAAGACTTTTCTTATCTTAAAATGTCAACATCATAAATATTCCCCAATTAGAGAAGCATTTGGTAGAATTTAAGACTTTTATATTTATTAATCAATTTATTAATTAACAGATTTTTGTAAGAAATGCCAGAATAGGTACTCGAATTGAATATCCTTTAATGATAAAAATTCACCCAATTTGATAATGAATTAGAAAGTCAGTTCATTTTGAAGTCTAGAACTAGACAAAACATTAGATTTGGGATCCTCTTCCCAAATAGTGTATGAATATTTGTTGTAAAATATGGAATGTTTAAATAAATCATCATCTGTTACAAGAGCCAATTGAAACTAAAAAAATAAGTACCTACAAAATAAAACATACTGCTATTTAAAAGTCAGGTATAAACAATAGAAAAGTCATGCCTTGTTTAAAGATCATATTATTTTCTACATTATTTACAAATTTCAGAAAAGTTCTAAAACAAAGATAGCAGGGCATCTTAGTATACTTTCAGGATCCTTGCACTAACTCTAATTTTGTGTAATTTTGATCAGAATTAGCATAACACATGGGGTATATCATGGCACAAAAAGTGAGGAATTTTACCATAATTGGGTAATTTTTGTCCAGCAATCCATCAATATAATGGTGTTAATATCTTATTTTATCAAAGGTAGAGATAAATTTAATTTTTTAACAACAATGATAATTGTAATAAATATGAGATACAAGAGAAARAACAATATGTTTTTCATTCAAAATTGTTTATGTAGAGTAAGAAAAGTTAAAGATTGAAAGTGTGTAATTCACCAAGAAACAAATAAACGTTGCACATTTATTCCTAAAGTGGCACTGTTAGAGTATTTCACAAAATAACTTGAAAGTACTGTGTTGTGCACATGTATCCAACACAGTATTTCAGTCTGTATGACATTGTGAACATTTTAGGGCAAGTGCTTGAAAACTGATTATAGAAAGAAGAAGTATACAAAAAGAGAAATTTCTAGTGTTTCATTTCTGGGGGTGACAAAATCAGCCGACAAAGGTCAACAGCCCACAAGGTAGGACTCAGGCATAAGAAAAGGCTCCCAAACTAAAAATGAATCTAAACATAAATAAAAGAATACAATATCCAAATAACAATACCAGCAATAACAAACCCCTTCACCTTAATGTCTTCTACAATCTAGTTACATAAACAAATGAAATGTTTACACATTTCTGACTGTTACATCTCAATGAAAAATACAAGACCTGGAGACATTTTGAAAAGATAAGCAAGTGATCCAAAGGTCACCCACTCTCTGAGAACAAGCTAGCAAGAACAGCTTCATCCTGTAAATGAAGGCCAGAAGGGGAAAAAAATATATATATTTTTTGAACCAAGAGTTGATGACTCTTGTCAGCAGTTTTTGAGATTTGAGATTGGATTTTTAAAATGTCTCCAAGGAGATTTTATGGTTTATAGTCAATAGTAAATCTATGAAGTTTAGAATAAACTCTGAAAATAATTTAAGATTTGATGAAACTATAATAAATTTTATTAAATTTAACCTGGAAAGATTTAAAAAGTTAGACTTAACTCTCTGGGGAGACTCCCCAGATATCTGCTATAGCTTTCTACTATGGGTTACAGAATATTTGCCAGCATAAATTATAATTTTATGTCAGTATTACATTATTTTATTAAAAAAGTAGGTCTTTTATCAAAATGGTTGTGGAAATTAATTAATTCATTAAATTATTATTCATGTACCATAGACTCTTTCAGGTAGGCAGGAGACAGCAGTAAATAAAAATGACAAATAGCTAATCCCTTGTGGAGTTTATAATCCTGACAGAAGGGTCTGTTAATCCTGGCAAAAGGAAAAATTAAAAATAAATTATGTCATGATGACAAATGCTATGAAGAAAAAAAAAGAGAGAAGCATTCATATTGTACATAGCTATTTAAAATAAGATGGTCATCACAGATCTTTCTGGGAAAATGATATTGAAACAGAAACACAGTGAATGGAACCATGAAGTTATCTGGGGTTTATATATTTTAGTCAGAAGAAAGAATAATTAACAAAGTTCTAAGGAAGGGTATTTCTGAAAAAAAAAAAAAGTCTGAAGAATGAAGTATGAAGCTTAGTGCCGATCAAGAGGAGAGAATGTAAAATAAACAAAGAGAGGTTCTAAAGTCATAGAGGTAATGGGGATTTAGATAAGGAGGAATATTCTTAGATATTTTAAGAGTTTTGGTTTAATCCTAGTGAGATGGGAAGTAATCAAAGCAATCTGATTAGCTAAGTATCTGTTGAGACTAGAAGGTTCATTTTTGTTTCTGTATTGAGAATTAACTAGGGACAGGAAGGGATTGGGGGACTGGAAGGATTAGGACATTCTGTAATAACCTAGGTAAGAGGTAATGGTGATTTAGAGTGTTAGCAGTGGAGGTAGTGAGATGCAGATAAATTAAAAATATATTTTGAAGGTAGAATAAAATGAATTTTTAATAGAATGGCTATGGACACAAGAGAAAGAATCATGGAAGGTCTTAAAGCTTTCTATCTGAAAAGTTGGATTTATGGGTATAGCATTTAGCAAAATGGAAATCTGTGGAAGAAGCAGTCTTTGCAGAAATATCAGGGGTTCAGTTTAAGTGTGTTAAGGGTGAGAAGTCTACCAGGCCTGGACATGTCAAATAACAAGTGGTTCAGGGATATTCTTGAGTTCAGAGAAATCTGGGCTGTAGATATAGGCTGAGTTAATAGTGAATAATTGGCATGTTCAGGCATGTAGTTGGTGGAGATTGGCAAAGCAGGATAGATAGAAAAGAGTACCATGAACTGGGGAATTAAGTTTGGAGGTGGGAGGAAAATCACAAGTTTAAGATGGAGTAACAGAGAATAAATAAAACAGAAGAGTCTGTATAGTTGAAGGCCATGTGAAGAAAATATTTTAAGGGGATAGGAGTGACCAACTACATTACTGCTACTAGTAAGGCAGATGAGATAGAGACATAGAACTGACCATTGAGTTTTGAAATATTTAAGTTAGAAAAAATAAGTATGTTTATAAGATGTTGTTAATGAAATACTAGAGAGAAAAAAAGTCATGATACAGGAAGACAGAGTTACTGAAGCTGTGGTTTTTAAGCAGCTGGAGGAAGTCATGACTATTTGAGGGTAAATGGAATGTCCATAGTAGGAACACAAATAATTCATCTACTGGAAGGCAAGCAGGTAAACAGACATGGGGTGAAATTCATGTGTAAGTAACATACTTGAGTAAATACAGCATGGGCATGGTTCGGGTCACCAGCAAGGAAGAAAAGCTACTGTACTGTTCCACTAAAATAGGGCTGGTGGAATTTGACAGACTGTGATCAGGTGACTGGACCTTTTATTCTGGAGTTTTTCCGTGCCAACAATGCCTATATATTATTTCCGCAGAGTCTATCTATAATAAGCATTTGTGTTTGGAAGGGAAGCAACTGAATCTGGAAATATATGACCCTTCTTCTCAAGTAAGTAAAGCAAAATCTTATTTTTTTTTCCTTGTTTTAATTATGACTTGGAAGTTTTGATAAGGGTGTGTGAAACATTGTCAGTGTTATAATGAAGTTTCTTCTCAGTTTTAATTACTAAAATGTTAAGAGATTACTTTCTGTGTTATAAATTCCATTTTCTGGCTTCTCTAAAAACTTATGTCAAAAAAATTAACACATCACATATATCTTTAAAATAGAAATACTAGGTTTCATTCATAACATATTTCTGTCAGGTCATATAGTGGCTGTCAATTTTGTGGCTTGTCAATTCAGTTAGTATTTTCACTGAGTTGTATTTGTGAGTAACCTGGTTTAAATGAGTATAAGTAAGATACATTTTGAGTACAAACCTCTTTGACCATTCAAAATATTAAATAGTTAAAATAGGATTATATAAATGAGAAAAGGAGTCAAAGGAATATTAAGAAAGAAATAACTGTCAGTTGTCTATGGTTTCAAAACAACTCCATGGGACATATTTTTAGGGGGTAAGTAAAAATTGCTTTAAATATATTTAGCTAAACTTTTACCAATTTTGTGGAATTTTCATTCACTTTTAATCAAAGAAAGAGAAGAAAGAAATACACAAAGAAAATACGTTTTATAAAATATTAATTTGGGGCTTTATTGAAGTCTCTTTCGGGTGAAATGGGTCTGCATCAATTAACTAGATTATAAAGTACCACTGTTTGATTCCAACACTTTCAATGCACTTGCTTTACTTTCAGTTGCAGAAAGCAAATTTCTCTCTCACAAGTAAACTTCATTGGGCAGATGGGTTTGTTATTGTGTATGACATCAGTGACAGATCTTCGTTTGCTTTTGCAAAAGCCCTTATCTACAGAATTCGGGAGCCACAAGCTAGTCATTGCAAAAGGTAAGGTATTTCATTCTCTTCTCCTTTCTTTTGAGTAAATCATCATATGGCTGTAAGCATCATTAGGAAGAATTTAATACAGCCTTCCAATTACGAAATTTAACAACCCTGAACAATTCACCTTCCAATTCCACAGGAGTTACACGTGTAGTAAAAAGGAATAAGATGAGAATGCTTTATATCCAGGCTGACATAAACAGTTACTTGCCCTGAGTAAATGGCTATTTTACAAGACAGCTTCTATTGTTAACATGACACTCACTTGCAAAATAATGGTCCTCTGTACATAACAGAGTTCCCTTTTCAACCTTTCCGTTTCATTTTCACACACACACACACACACACACACACACACACACACACACACAAATGTTAAAGATACTAAATAAATCCAGATTTATTACATTTGGCATCCTGTGAAATCCAATTCCTAGTTATTGGGTTGTTCCATCTTTCATAGCAAAATAGACTGAATAATCAAACCATTTGCAAATTCTAAATATGAGAATGCAGTTTTCTACATTTCACCTTCTAAAATAAAGAGCTAGCCAACAATTTTCCATTGTTAGTTATCCTGACACACAGAACTATGAAGGAAAAGATAACTTGTCCTTAAACAATTATTGTGTTGGTAGAGAAAAGCTTAAGCATCTAAGTATTGCATGTTAGTTATTCCTATTTTTTATTGTAAACTTTAGCCTTTTTCATTTGAGGTATTTACGTTTATCGGGTGGATGTAAGTATTCTCTGTGCTCTTAGCCAGTTTTGCCCGTAGAGTCCAAAATAATGTTTTAATATGGTAAGTATAAAAAGTACAATATTATTACTGCAAATTGGTAAAAGTGTTTTATATATCTACTTTAACTGCCCACTAGCAAGGAAACCATGGGCCAATAATTGATAAAGGGCATATCCCTAGAGCTAGTTCATGTACATTCTGCTTTCCATTTGATTTACCTTCGGTAAATCACTTCAATCTCGAGAGCTCATTTATCTGATCTTACAGCTGATGACAGCATAGTAGGAGCAGAGGATGTGATTTTACTCAGGTGCCTCATAGCCCTGATTTCCTATAACATTACTGACTTTTTAGAATTCAGGCATTTATTTCCTTATATTTTTGCACTAATGACATAGGTAGGGTATAAAAATAAAGTTCTTTTTATATCCTTTCAAAGCAAAATAATCAGTCAAGAACACTTAAAATCACATTTAATATATAAAAACCTATTTTGACATTTTTACAGCAATCTTGTCAATTTATTGAATAAACTATTCCTGGAGTACTTCCAGTTCCTGATCTGAAGAAAGGCCAGGATAGTAAAATATGGAACTCTTGTAAAATTACCTCTGATATTCATGGTTCATCCTTCAAAATTCTTTCAACTACCTTTCCTCATTTATCCTTTACAATCATTTTGTGTATTTGACTGAAGACAATATTAATACCCCTTAAAGGCCACCACATACAGAGCATCTTTCCTCACTGCCCACRGGCATATGAATGAACCCTACTTCAGTGGACTCTGGTGTCTATAATTAGAGGCCATCCATGTTTACAATTTCTTCCTTATGCCACTTTAAAGCTAGTAGTTTCATTGTATTTTTTTTTTTACCAAACTATTTATTTGTATTGTTTCACCATTACAAAGTAGAGTTATTGTATTTGCAGAAGATATTTTATCTTAACAAGGACAATTTTTCAAATGTAAAGTTGTATTTGTAAGTTACCCATTGTCAATAGAGCATAAGGAAGATACATGAGAGTAAAAATTTTTCGTATAATGTATACTAACAAATAAAAAGCAGCAGTGATTACTGATTAACTTTTGCTTAAGAAAACATCCAAATTAACTGTTCAATTCCAGTAACTATATAAGTAGAGATATGTGTTCATTTTCCTCTTGCAAATAATAATGGACATAAAAAATAATAGTAAGCATCTTTCATTGCTTGGAACTGTGCTAGGTATTTTTATACACATCATTTCATTTAATCTGTGTGAGAAATCTCTGTGATGAGGACTATTTTACTGTTTTTTACATAGAAAGAAACCAAACCTGGGAAAGATACCAATAATACCTAGTTAGTAATCAGATTCAACATTCAAGAATAGGTTTATGTTACTTCAAATCCTCAGCTTTAAGGGCATTGTTGCTTTTGTGTTATTTACTACATTCTATCTAAAACAATTGTTGTAAGTAAATGGTGACACATATTTTACTGCATAACCAATTTTTTATGCCAATTGTTTTTTGCAAAAAAAGTAGAATGTGACCATTGTATGAAGCTTTTAAGAACGTGCTGCTAATATTTAAAAAATCTCTATTACTAAATTGGTTTTGGTGCAAAATTAGTATGCATGGAATACTTGTGAATATGTTAATGCATGGAGATGATTATGTGGTGAAATACTATATGTGTCACCATATCCACATGTGATCATAAACATGTATACACAATATTTTTTCTTTTTTGACTCATATGAACCTTCCTCTTATAAAAAAGAGTTATTGAAACAATTTTGCCAAAAATTGCATGTCTGTATTTCAGAGCTGTGGAACAGGCAGTGCTTTTGGTTGGCAACAAGCAAGACCTCTGTCATGTGCGTGAGGTTGGCTGGGAAGAAGGAGAAAAGCTGGCGCTGGATAACCGATGCCAATTCTGTGAACTGTCTGCAGCAGAGCAGTCTCTGGAGGTAGAAATGATGTTCATCAGAATTATCAAGGATATTCTTACAAACTTCAAGCTCAAAGAAAAGAGAAGATCCAGTGGATCTAAGTCAATGGCCAAATTGATCAATAATGTATTTGGAAAGAGAAGAAAGTCTGTTTAGCAGCCATATAATCCTAGGGGATTTATTATGTCAGAGTTTCAAACATTCACATGGTAATTAAACCTATCTGTTGTTTGSTTTTTTGTTGTTGTTGTTGGGGTGGTGGTACCAGAGATTGAACTCAGGGGCACCTGGCCACTGACCCACATCCCCAGCCCTATATTGTGTTGTATTTAGACAGGGTGTCACTGAGTTTCTTAGCGCCTGTCTTTTGCTGAGGCTGGCTTTGAACTCCAGATCCTCCTGCCTCAGCCTCCTGAGCCACTGGGATTACAGGTGTCACCATGCCTAACCATTGTTTGCAATCTTTAGAAAAAAAATTTGTCTGAGATATGAAATGATTGAACGTGAACCAACCTGCATTTTCAAATGTGTAGTTTGCTTTTGGTTGATTGTATGCAGTTCATGCTGCTTCACACATAACCTTTCATTTGTTGAACAAAAAAGGGCTCACTGCAATCTACTGGTAGATTGTTATCCATGGTGCCTTGCCAAGTCAACTCTGCTCATGTAATTTTATTAAGCTACCATCCCATAGTCTGTGGTTTAACTTTAATTTATTTATTTCTTTGAAATAAATGAGCAATTATCTTCATAGCGTTAATATAAGGTTTGACTTATCAATTTGTGAAAGTTCTCCATCTATTTAACAGAAATGCATGGATTTACTTTAGAAATGTCTTTACAATAATATAGTGGCCTACATGACATTTTATGTATTTAGATAAAAATATAACTTAAGGCTTAAAATGTTAAATTCTTAATAAATATTTTATGGTTGATCTGATGGTGAAACTGTCTGCCTTTTTCTGTTGCATGCTTAAAAGTTCCCATCTTAACAAGGGAATTTCTCACTGTAGCTAAGATCCTTTTTAGATTAAAAAAATATTTTTGTTTATTTATAAACTCATGTATGATACTGTAAAACAAGTAAAAACTTGTTGGTGAATATATAACCCTGAAGGCTTTGTTGGCTTGAAAAAAAAATGTTTTTGCATTAGATTTTGGGCCTTATTTGATTACTTTGACTACCTTCACCTTTCAATGATTTACCCCTAATATGTGATATTGATAGCAATATCACTGATACTGCCCTTGCTTAGTTTTCCCACTTGATATCTCTCAAATTAAGTCTGTCATCCTAACTTTGGCCAAGTGTTGAGAGTGAAGGTTAGGTCTCAGACAAGTTAAAAATGGTACTACAAGCAATGGTGCACACACACTTGTTTAATAAATACCAGCAAGAACCTGGGGAAGTTGGAAGATGATCTTGCATAGAGGGTAGTCGACAGGACAGAGGAAATCATAACATAGATGATCAAGCTATATAGAAGAAAATTCATTGACATGGGCTTATTCACCATGAGTCATAATTCAACATTTTAGGAATGACACCTAGAGCTGTTCCATACAGCTTTGCTGTTCCTTAACAATCTGATTCTGTTTTTTAATCTGATACTGTTGTTATCCTGAAGGAAACTGTAGTGGAAAAAGAGAATCCTGTGGAAGTAAGCAACACAGGTTCTGAATGTTTACAAAGATGGCAGGGACTGGTTAGAAATATTGATGTAGATTGGATCCAAAACACACCATTTGATTATTTTCACTGGAAGAATTCAAGCAAACTTTCTTTACTTAGGAAGTAAGGGTTGTACTGGTAAGGGGGTACAGACAACTGTGGGAACAGGGTGACTGCTTTATGGGTCTGAGTAAACAGTAGATCAGTGTGGTTGTTCTCCATCAGTGGAAGCTACCACTGAACTGTGCTTCTCAATATCAATGCAGATTCTAGAATCTTCGGACAGAATAATCTGGATGTCTAGATTTAACCTGTTCCCAATTATCCTCCCATCTAGTTCCCCGAACAAAATAACTGTGGTTGACTCCATTTCTGATACTGGCTGGCTCCATATTTAGAAGTGATGTACTCACTTGAATATCTTGAATGAAAGGCTACGTTGTGAACCCATGCATTGTTTTCATTTGTATCACCATGGTCAATATTCTCATGTGTATATTATATGAGCACAAAAATAGCTAAGAAAAAAGACAGATTGATATCTTCTGGCCATGTCATCCTGTCTATCTGGTTAAGGGATTTCTCCTTGGTAAATTGCTCTCTGGTGAGTACTACATTATATACAAATATCTGTGTATTTTATGTCCTTTATGAGTGATCTGTTCCTATGCCTTTTTCTTAGACCTTCTTATCACTGATCATCCAGTTTTACCTCTTAAAGACCTCTGACCAACTGGCAAAACAATTAATGATTGCCTGGAAATCAGTGTAGTACATGTACTTTCCTAATAAGCAAGGTGAACGACAAAATGTGCTTCTTGAAATTCTGCCAACTGGTATAATTTCCTTCTGCTGATGAGTGTCATGGTTACTCTGTGTAGGACCATAATGAGGAACAGTCCTCTTTTGGCTGGCACTAAAGTATTGAGTGAAAGTGAGAAAAACTCCCTGTAAACTAGGGATATTCATTACTATATGAATGAAACATAAATGTCTATTGTGTAGTTATCCTTGCAAATTCAAGGAGAATATTTTAAGCCAACTATATAAATAGAAATTTTAAGTTTCAATATTGACACTATATAAATATATACTCATTCATATACACTATATTGATACTATATAGACAAAAGTTAGGATAAGAAGTTATATTTCTTTCATTGTTTTGTTCTTATTCTTCTGGATAGTCTCATTTTTAGAGATCTGGCATTCATTCCTTTGATCATTTTTTTAAGCTAAAAATTACTTGGGGATTTTTCACCTTAAAAAATAACATATTTATCCCCATTACATGTAGGAACTCTAATGTTCAAAAAGTATACAGATTCTTTAATAGATTAATTAATGCATTTTTATCTGTGATGATTCATAGTAAAAAATTTCTTTGTTATGTATAATACTTTTATTTTTGCACTTAGAAATTTTATCTATTATACTCTGTTTTGGTTTTTTTTGTATCAGGATGACCTGCAATGACACACCTCATTACAAGGAGGCTACAGAAAGAACAGTAGTAAGAACAAGAATGGATATTTTCAGAGTGTTTTGTAATGGAGTAACTTTAGAAATAAATAGTTGAGGTGCTGGGGATATAGCTCAATGGCAGAGCATTTGCCTAACCTGCACAAGGCCCTTTGATGATGTGACATCATCAAAGTGTGTGATGGTAGCACAGTTTTGTGGGTTTTTTGTAATTTCTCAAATCAAAACATTGTTTCAACCTTCCCATTTCTGTCACACTAGCTTAATTATTGATCAACTTATGGATTCTCTTTTGATAAATGGAACAAAGTGAAAGTGTATCACTTATGAAGCCAGATTAGAAAAGGAGATATAGTGTCCATCATTTTCTTCTCCCTTAGGATTCTACTTTGGAAGCCATGTGTTAACATGTGTGAATCTTGCTACCCTAAAGGCACCAGCTGGAGATACCACATAGAATCAGTGATCATTTAACCCAATAGAGGTATGAGTAAACCTTCTGATGATTCCAAGTTTCAGTCTCTGGGCTACTTCAGCTGCTAGATAGTAGATGAAGCAGAGATGAGTTATCTCCTCCCCACCCACGCTGCCTGAATCTCATCCCTGTGATAGATTTGTGTTCATGAAATGTATCATTATTATTTTAGAATTGTTGCCTGGCAATACATTACCAGAAAAGATAATTCATTAAAATCCTCAGCAACTAAGCCAATATAAAATGTTTCACATTTTTTTTGCTAGAGAAAAACAGAGTAAAAAAAGGAATCCTCCAAACACATTCAAAATTGTCTAAAACATGAGGTTGTTTGAGTATCTGTTTCCTTGTGAATACAATTCACTTGTAAAGCAAATTGCAAAACTTTAAAAGTAATAAGATACATTTTTCCGAAGTGAGCAAATAACATACCTATCTACAGAAAAACAAATACATCAACATTAGCTCAGAGAATGTTGTAGGTTGAGGGTAGAAAATGTGTCCATAAATCTCAGAGAAAGTTTAGCTGTATCACTAGGCTTGGAATTGCCTGTGCTGTTCTAGTAAAAAAGATGCTGTCATTCACTTTGGATGAGCTTCAATGAGATAACACATAATGAGGGGTGACAGCTGAGGATGGGAATGCCAAAGGGGAGGGGGTTTTTAAAATGGTTTTGATTTAATACAAGGCATGCACTATTAATAAAGAGGTTGAATGATACCTGTATGTTTTATAGGTTTATAAATTGGCTGTAGTAAAATATTTTACATCTTAGATCACTAGGTATTGTTTCAGCTTATTATGGGAGATATCTATCTAGAGTTGACTGAATTGTATTAATCTGAACCTAGTTTAATGATGCCTTAACATTTTTATGGGGAAATTTAATGTTTGCAATATCCATGTTCCTTATTTGAAAGCGTGACTTATAGGTTTCTCATCTTCCTTAAATTATAAAATCCTTCAGCTAATAAAGGAAAATGATTATAGTTTGCAAAAAAGGCAAAGTCATTTAACAATCCATATAACTGTCTATTGTAGGGCTTTGCATAATAATTGTAATTTAGCTATTAGGGATTCTAAAGGCAGTTATCAGTCATACTCTACAATTCTAGAGGAATCATGCAAAGCCCAAATTATTTAAAGTATTTTAAAATCCCCAAAAAGTATACCATAAATTTGAAATATACTCTATGGTGACAAGCTATTATTTTATAGGAAAAGAAAAAGTTCATCATAATTTTCAAATGTATAAACCAGTGAAAAGATTATTTTTCTTCCTTTTCAGATACAGATATGACACAAGCTTTTTTTTTTAAATAATAGAATTGTATTCTAAATTAGGAGTCTGTGGACTATAAAATATCAGTGTCAAAGTGGAAATGACCAACAAGTTAGTAATTCTGGAACAGCTAGGGCATAAATAAAACAGGAAAAAAAATAGAGAGTAAGAGATGCAAACAATTGATATTATATGAAAGTTTAACTAAGAGTTGCGTTTACAACTTTTAGACCATTTTAGACACTCAAGGTAAGTATTTAACCACCAGACAAATGAAAACTCTTTGAAACACTTATGTAAAATTTGGCTGTAGTTTTTTCAGCTCTAGGTTTATTTACAAGGTATCCAAATCTTTAGGTTTGAAAATTTTTGAAGTATTT